ACCCCCGTTGCTTGTCCCTTTTTAGAAAGCACATAGCTACAGGGTAGGGATATACACTTCCTTATTTGAAATGACCTTCTCCTGAAATGTGTTATTTAAATTACTGTAACTACAAAATACCTGTAATTTTCACTAACTCATCTGGCTTGGCTCATTGATAAATGAGTATATTCGAGATGCACCCCCACTTTTACATGTTTAAGATTAAACTGATGCCCATCTGAAAATAACTTTGAAGAGCCCTGCTGCATTCATTATGGTTCCAGGGACTGACCTGACTGGAGTGGTCAAGTCATGAAGAAAGATCTTACACATAGATACAATGTACAGAAAAGCTGAGATCGGGAGGTCTGAGTTCTTGGATGGAGACATTGCAGCACCTTGAAGCTCAGTGTGTTTATTATATACAGTGGAACAGGGAGGTGGGGTTATTTTGTACAGCTGAATAAGGAGTCACGTTTAGCTAATCTCAATAGGATTAGTCTGCATAAGGGAGTAATTTTCAGGCTGTAAAACACCGGAGAGGGTGAGGTTGTAGAAAGTACAACCAGTAAGCCATTTTATGTACACACATCAGAATTTACACTCGGACCAAAGGAAGGCTTTGCCATCCCTCTGAGCCTTACCTGGGGAAGGCTGTCCTACCAGTTGCTCCCCGATAACCAATCAGAGGCTTAATATTAATTATAAATGCTCGGTCAATAGCTCAGGCTTGTTACTAGCTAACTCTTACATTTAAATTAACCCATATTTCTATCTATGCTTTGCCACGTGGCTTGGTAGTTTCAGTATGGTATGCCCATCTTGCTTCTCTTTGCAGCCTTCTTTCAAGCAGTCTCACTTTGGCTTTCTTATATAACCTTTTTCTGTTTAACTATTGGCCAGTCAGGCTCTTTATTAAACCAATCACAGTGACATATATTCACACAATGTGTAAGAATATTCCACATTCCCCCTTTAACATAGTAAAATTTTATACAACAAAAACAGTTATCAAGTAAGAATTACAGTTACAATATCTAGTTCATTTGTATTTGGCAATTAGGGAAATATTCTATTTTTATCCTTGACTCTAAAATTTTATACCCAATTTATCTTTTATCATAACTAAGGAAAACTTTAACTATGACTGCCTAGTATTGAGTTCCATCAAAGACTCCAAATGTTACCTAGCGACTGGGATATCTGGTTGCCTGGACAGACACCCTAAGTTCTTCTGTAATGTTGGGGCATCCATCTTTGGCCTACAGGCCTCATACATCTGACAAATGTTTTTGTGCAACAGGTAATTTTGACGGACTGTCCTACTGTGTCTTGGCAAAGATTGGCAGTCACTTTTTATGCCACCTGCTGGTCCAGTTTGAATAGTATACTGTCAGCAATTTAGGTAAGGGCAGTTTTTTGCTCAAATGGCTAGTGTTTGCCATAAAGAAAGCAAACTCCATAAGGAGGTTCTTTGATGCCCATTATCTTCTTATGAAGTGAATTGGTACTGTTAGGAGCAGACATGTCTCACTGTCATGAGCATTATGTTATAAAAACATTTAAAATACTATTTTCTGTAGATCTTTGAAGTATTTGAAGACCATCTATATCTATCTGTGTATGACCTTGAAAACATACCTAACTTGACTAAAGTTTGACTATTATAGATGACTACTAATCTGTATTTCTTAATTATACATTATATTTTGAAGGGAGTTGCATAAGCACAATACTGCAAACAAAGCCTTCCTCAGACGGATGAGGTATTGGTCCTTGATATTCACTCAGGACTTTACTTGCTTCCTACAGAGGGTCCACTGCCCCAATTTGGTCTTAATAGAGACAATAAAGCGTTGTTTCCCATGCTGTTCCTTAATTGCTAAAATAATGAGGCCTTGTTGTTCTGAGTAATGTATTTAAAACAGCAAGGCAGTCATTGCTGGCAATTTTTCAATGGAAGATGTGCCAAGATTCCAACCCATTCATGTAAGTGCCAGCCTCAGAGTCGTTATTCCAGGGATTTGCAATTCACCAGTTGACAATTGATTTACAAGGCAGGAAGACAGGGTTCTTGCATATTGGTCACTGACTCACAAGCAGAATGGAATGTGTGCTGGCTCCATGCCTTTTCTGCTGGCCTGTGATCTTGCTGCTAGAGCATGGAGTAATGGCAGAGGGCCAGGGTGCTATCTTTGGCCAGGTGTCCTCAGTGTGGTCTTGACCTTCATGGTTAAGTAGGTTAGCTGCCAAGTAAGTAGAATATAGTACCCTAGTCAAGTATGTCCCTGTGTCTGCCCATCGTTCCATCTGTTTGTTCATTTATGCATCTGTCTGTCTGTCCGTCCGCCCGCCAGTCCATCCATCCATCCATCCATCCATCCATCCGCCAGTCCATCCATCCATCCATCCATCCATCCATCCATCCATCCATCCAATATGGGTTTAGACCATTAGTGAGTAAACTAGATTGATCTCTAATGGGCTGTGTACAGTTGTAGCTGCTATTTTCTGTAAATGAACAGATAGTAAATATTTTAGCTTTAAGGCAATTTTGTGTCTGTTGCAGCTACTTAGCTCTGTTGTAGGGTAAAAACAGCCATGTTCAGTACATAAATAATTGCCATGGCTATAAGCCAAAAGACATGCTCTTTAAAAATAAATTGACTTGTAAACTTTAGTGTGCCAGTCTCTAAAACCATTTGATGTGACATAGTTTGATACATACTAACTTTTAAAACACTCAAGTGCTTATAAGTTTTCTACTACTGTTTTATGTCTTGTGTTTGTTAGCTTAATAATCATCTGCTTTGAGATTTACCTATAAAAGAAGTTTTAATAGTTTTTACACCATTTTTTAATTTATTTAGATATATTAATCATTTAAAGACTACATGACTGTCTTAGGTCCTGGTTGCTGATATGTGATTGGTTGGAAATAGCACAAATATACACACAAGGATTGACAATGCTCAGTAATACATCAATGGTAATGGTAATAGCTCTACCCATTTAACTGTTTTTTTTTAAACTTATTAATATGGCTTAAAAACTATATTGAGTGGAAAAGATGGTCAAGATATATTGCTAAGTAAATAAAAGAATGTGGATGTAGTTTTTTTTGTGTATATAAGGTGAAAGTAGAAAGGCAAGGTGTTTGCATGTTTGTGTACTTGCATACTATTAATATCAGAAAAGATCCTAAGAGTTCGGAGTTTCCGGACAGATGATGCCAATTTGCATAATAAAAGTAGAAAACATCTATTGCAGGATTTTTGAGTAGCACCTTGTTCTTTGAGATGGTTGGTAACCATGATTAAGGCTGTGTGTCTAGTAGCCATTCTTAGCAGCGATTTTTGCATAGGCGCATTAGCTGTCGTCCTTGGGTGCTGCTGCACTGCAGTAACCTTATTGATATCACCGAGCCTGCAGGCAGAACTTTAGAATTATTCTGATCACTTGCTTTTCCTTCATTTCTTCAGCTTCCAAATTAGAACCTGCAGATCAGCAGAGAGTTTCGTGTGATATAGCTGCAAGGGAAGCTGTGGGGGAGAGGGAGTGTGTGTGTAACTCGGGAGCCTGCCTCCTAAGAAGGGGAATAGAATCAAATGCAGAAAGAGCATCCAGGAAAAACAAATGGGTGCTGTGTATTGGAGACAGCCAGGATATTGTTAGCATTGATGACTACTGGGCAGTGCTGTTTCAGAGATAGGGGAACAGAGGCAAGGTTGTATTCCATTTCCTCCTTTTTGCTCTTTGAATGCAGAGCAGAAGTACACAGATCAGTTTAATGTAAATAGTGGGGTGGGGTGAGAAAAAAGAGCAGCCATTTTCCCTAGCATTCCTACCACACTGCTGCTCTCACAGAAAAACCTCGTAGCTAAGCTGGGCAGATTTGTCAAACCCCTACTTAATTTCATTTGAAAATTCACCTGACAATTTCCTGTGCTTGATTACATAGGAAAATCATAGAATTGTTTCCCTAGGGATATCAGTGGATTAGTCTTTTCTTTTTGGCCTGCTGAAACTGATTTGGTTAATCTTTGTGAGGTCTGTAGGTTGTTGGTCGCTTATGGGTAATATTGTTCACTGATGCACGGTACAGAAATGAAACAACAAGTTTAATCCTACTACGTGCTTTCTCCCCATGTTTCAAATGCTCATAAATTTCCTGCTTGAAAGAAAACTGGTCCGAGAACCTAAGGCTCTCAAATAGGGTTTTGGCAGATTTGTTAATAACTTTTAAGTTTCTTTTAAAATTAACTTCTAAATTATTCTGTGTGTGCATGACAGTGTGTGAGTGGAGGTCAGAGGACATTATCCAGGTGCTTTTCTTCTTTCTTATTTGTGTAGGTTATGGGAATTGAACTGAGGTCACTGGGCTTGTGCTTCAAGAACTTTCACTTGCTATACCATTTCACCCACATTTACAAACACTTAAAAAATACCAGTTTCAAATTCACACAAAAAGTACAAAATCCAGAGAATCCCATTCACCACAGTCCATTTTCCTTTGCCATCATCTTACCATTGTATGCTAAATTCTTATACTTAGCCAATACTGCTGAGTTAAGTTGGACTAAAACATGTATCAATAAGATTTATTTAGTTTCAGCCAGGAGGTGGTGGCTCACACCTTTAACCCCAGCACTCAGGAGGCAGAGGCAGGTGGATCTCTGAGTTTGAGGCCAGCTTGATCTACAGGGTGAGTTCCAGGTTGGCCAGGGCTGTTACACAGAGAAAACCTGTCTTGAATAAAAAAAAAAAAAATTATTCAATTTCTATCATTAAGATATATTCTGTTTCTAGCTTCAGTCTCTCATGTTTCGGGATAGATGATATATTTCATATATATTGCATGTGTTTATCTATAGTGATGTCATGGAGCTATATAAAAATGTTTTATATGAAACTTTTAATGAGATCCTGTCATGGAGAGATTCTTATAGTCTTAAGACACACGTGTCATGTGAGTAACATTAATTAACTTTCATTTTTCTCTCTCATTATGTATTAAGTGGAACAGGTCCCAGTAGAACCCTACAAGATTCCTCTGTCTCAGGCTGAAGTCATCCAGGAGGGCAGTGATGTGACTCTGGTTGCCTGGGGCACTCAGGTCAGTACTGTTGACCACCAGCTGAGGCCACACTGTGCTGGGATGCTTTTGTCTGTAATTCTGGTGTGTTCTGTCAGACACAGAACACCCACCCTCACCTCCACCTTTATTTCAGTGTAACTGATAGACAAGAGTGACTCAAGGTGGATAGCATGATGGTTTCATATGTGTGTATACTGTCAAATGATGACCCAATTAAGTTAATTCATAGTTCCTTACTGCATGAGTGTGTGTGTGTGTGTGTGTGTGTGTGTGTGTGTGTGTGTGTAGAGTGAGACATATGATCTACTCTGAGCAAAGTTAAAGCAAATGATTGAACTTTTCTTTTAAACAAAGGGTTTATTTTTATTTTTGATTAATTTTCTGTATTGACAGTTTCATACATGAATATAATGCTTTCTGATTACTCTCATCCCCTAATCCTCTCATCTCTTTTTCATCCTTATTGCTGCCACCTCCCACCCCCTTTATGCCCCTCAGTCTCATTCTTAGACTTAAGAGTTTTGGTTTTGTTTTGTGACCCATTTGGTTTAACCACAGGGACATCCATGTGAACTGTGGATTGGATCTATCCATTGGAGCCTGGTGGGGCCACCTGTCTGAAGACAGAGATTCCTCCTCTCCACAAATCTATCAGTAGAAAATAGTCCCACCATGAGATGTAGGGTCCCCTAAACACGTCCTCCATTCATGACTGGCTCTTGATAGGTCCATTCTTGTGGAGATAAGTGCAGACATCCACAGCTGTTCATGGTTTCGATGGGTGTGTCTTGCCTAGAAGGTGGCATTGTTTGCAGCCCTTCTCTCCATCTTCCAGCTCCTTCTGCCCCCTCTTCCATGTTGCCTCTGCCTTAGAGAGGGCGGAGTGTCTTACTAAGGGCTGAGGACTCATCCATCACATATCCTGTGCACCCTGAGCAGCTGTGACTGTCTTCAAACAGAGTCTTAGTGTTGCTCAGGTCAGGCCTTGAACTTGCTATGCAGCTGACGACGCTACTGAACTTCTGATCCTCCTGTCTGTACCTCCCAAGTGCTGGGATTCCAGGCTCTTGCCACCGGGCCCAGTTCATAAACAGCACAGTCTTATTAGCTTAGTCACTGTGCTGCACATCCCTTCCTCAGAATTTACTCATTTTGTGACTGGAAGTTTCTAGTAACACTTTTTGGGTGGAGGTGAAGTGCCTGTTCAGTCATACTGAGACGTTCAGTGGGTGTACACAGCTGTGTCCGTTCAGAACACCTTTGCAGCTCACATTGCATTTCCATGTTACATGCTGCATTGATATCTTTCTCCTCCTATCTTGTACTCCCTCTCATGAGTGTGTTACTGGCCATGTGGACCACCTCTCCTATGACCCAGCAACAGAATTATGTATCTTTGTCTTTCCTAGTGATAGTTTTTATCTGATTTGCCCCAGCTGTAACAGCCGGGCTTAACCACTGAGCCTTCTCTCCAGTTCCTGTTCCAGTTATTGAACCCAGCACTTGCATCTTACTTGGCGTGGATTCTGTTCACTTTGTCTATGAACCCTTTTTGCCTTTAGTTTTTGTGACTTTTTTGTTTTCCCTTTCAGTTTCTTTAGCTATTTGTTTATTTTTAGAACTCTTGTTCTACCATTTTTTTTTTTTTTTTAATAAACGTTGGTGGTCTGTGGGTGTTCTTTCTCTGTATGCTCCCTAGCCATCTGCCTCTGCCTTTATTTGCCTCCTGAGCTTTTGGAATAAGTATTTCTCCCCTTTTACTAGCATTTATTTCTAACTGATAATCAAGATATTTTTCCTTGCTTGTTTTTTGTGACATGGGGATCAACATGCCTAGAACACATTTTTAAATTCTCCCAGCAGATCACTTGTCCAACTGCAGAGAGTAGCATATCATTATGACACCCAACTAGACTTTCAGGTCTGAACTGTTTTAATAATTCTCTGTGTATTTTCCCTCATCTTCAGGTTCATGTCATCCGGGAGGTGGCTTCCATGGCACAAGAAAAGCTTGGAGTGTCTTGTGAAATCATTGATCTGCGGACGATTGTGCCTTGGGATATGGATACAGTTTGCAAGGTATAAGTCTATAACTGATGCAGTGTCATTTCACTTTTGAATATTTACAAAGAACCATTTTGGAATAGTGAGTTGCATGAACGTTTTCAACCCATTTCAAACTTTTGAATGTGTGATGTGAGTGGAATAGGGGCTGTGTAATGAGCTTGATGTTCAAACAATCAGATACAGTTAGACTGTCTTTACCTTCCTATGTTTTTCTCTTCCTAAAATACCCCAGTATTGTTTTCACAGGCCACTCAGGTTGAATCTGTGAGAAACAGAATGGTGCAGAGAGGCAGGTGTCAGGACCATTGGAGTCACCTGTGCAGCTAACTTCTCCTTGGCTAGGTTCAGCAAGCTGGGCTTGATTTAGTAAGGTAAATAGTTTGGCTCCATTTTCAAAGTCTTTTCTCTATAATCCATCACATTATTATTTAGGAAATAGTTCTAGTTTTATCCCTTTGATCCTGTGGACCTCAGATTGAATATTATATTGTATGATTATGGCTACTCTGCATTATAGTTTCTGGCCTGATAATTTAGATTGGATTGCTGATGCCCTTATTACTAAGTAAATTCACGTAGTTGTCTTTGAAGAATAGAGCTTTGTGCACAGATACTTGTTTATAACTGGTATCCTATGCATTGACTTCAGTGTGGCTTATATCATGTCAGTTCTCACATGAGTGCCCAAGGGAGTTTAGATCTTCTGTTTTGTGATGATGTCATCTAGTGAAGACTAATTTAAAATTACTGGTATTTCTTTTTTCTGTGTTTGCTGCTATAGCAAATAAATCCTAAGACTTAAAATATTTTACCTTTACTAATTTTTAAAATTTAAGTATATTGTTATTAGTTCTTTGAGAATTTCATATGACTTGTTTTGGTTATACCCCCACAACTCTTCCCACAATCTTCCCCTCTCTGTATCCATGAACATTGTGTCCTTTTTTAATTGCCTTCTTTATTTTTTGAGATTGTAATATGACATCGTTTCTCCTTTTCCCCTTTCCCTCCAAATCCTCACACATAACCCTCCTTGCTCTCTTTCAAATTCATAGCCTCTTTTTTCATTAACTGTTATTGCATACAAATATGTGTATGTATATACATATGATGGGGGAAGTCCTTATGTGTATATGTCTCTCTTATTGGTTAATGAATAAAACACTGTTGGCCAACAGGGAAGCAAGACAGACGGGACTAGGAAAGAAGGAGGATTCTGGGAAATGTAGTAGAGAGACGGTTGCCCTGTGATCCCAGGAAGAGAGGATGCATGCCACTGGTGTCCTCGATAAGATAAGGCTTTATAAAATATATAGATTAATGTTAATGGTTGATACAGAGCTAGCAAATAAGAAATCCTAGTCATTGACCAGCAGCATTGTAACTAATATTAATCTCTGTGTGTTATTTGGGGACCCTAACGTGGTGGCAGAACTCAGGTGGCTGGCGAAAAGAGTTATCATTACATACATATATATATAGTCCAAAATATAAAAATGCAACCTCCTCAGTCTGTATAATGTTTCTTGCTTATATTTTTCCATTGGATTACTCTTCTGTAGGGAAGACTGTTTTTCCTACTCCTTGTATTCCTTAATTGCCTAGAGTTCTTTCTCTTGGGTTGAACCCTCTTGGGCTTTCCTAAATCCTCATTAGCATGTCTATTGCCCTTGCTCAGCTCACATTTGGTCTTTCATGTTGGTGAGACTTTATAGATGTTACTGGGAGACACAATCTTACAGCAAACTCCCTGTTCCTCTGGCTCTTACAATCTTTCTGTGCCCCTGCTCCACAGTGTTCCCTGAATCTTAGGGGTGGGAGTTGTTTAGAGCTGAATCTATTGGGACTCAGCTCTACAACTGTGCATTTTGATTGCTTTGTAGTTTTTCTGTAGTGTTCTCTGATAGGATTTAGTGGCAGAGCACATTGGCAGGTTGGGGCCAAGGTGTGCTGCAAAGAGATCACACCAGGCAGCAGATCTCATGTAAGAGGTTTATTGGGGCAGGGAGATCGAAAGATTGTCTTGGAATGGGGAGATGAGAGAGAGAGAGAGAGAGATAGAGACAGAGACAAACAGACAGACTAGAAGACAGAGAGAACAAACAAGAGAATGATCTGGGGTGGCAGGGACATTTTTAAGAGTTAGCAACTAGTGATGACATAGCTGCTGAGTGGTTGAATCCCTGAGGGCAGCCTGGGAGAGCATCTGCTTTCTAGCAGTCTCCATTTATTGGAAAGAGAAATTTCCTTTATGAGGGTAAGGGCTACATTTTTCTATATGTGTAAGGACAAATATTTAGAATGTAGTTAGGGATTATGCTGATTTTGTAAAGTGGTGCTTGTAGATTCTCCAAGATTTATGACTTCATTAGCCCTGGGTAGTTGGCTAGGTTTCCAGTACCAGGCAAGGTTTCCTTCTTGTTGAGTGGGTATTTAGTCCAATTAGAAGAACTGTTGGGTACTGCCAAGATATGTGAGCCTGTACTGCACCCTCAGGGCTATCATTGCACTGTTGTTGTTGTGACTCATAGGCATCATAGCTGTGTTGACTGTTGGTTGCTTCCTTCCTTTGGAAGATTGCATGGTGTCTCCTGGTGCCGTGAAAGCTAGTCTTCAGGGAGGAGACATTTGGATCAGTTTTAGCCCAGGGGCCTCTGGACCCTGTTTCTGATGTGCATGGTGTCTTTAGCAATAGGGACTTACCTCCCCTCTCTGTGGGGCAAGCAAGAGCAACAGTCATGCTTTGGAAGTCTCTTGGACAATCCTGACCATTGACTCAAAATAGGGATTCTTATGTCTGGGGCAGGACTTTTTTTTTTTTTTTTTTTTTTTTTTTTTTGTTACATGATTTTTGGCTCTTGGAGGGGATATTGACAGCACAGATGAGAAAATTTCATTTAAACTATATGTATATTTATACACAGAGTTATATGTATTACAGGTTTGTACTTTTTTATTATTACTTTTAGGTTGTTAATTTCTTATGACTTTTTCTGGCTCCATAGTGAAGAGCTCACAGTAAAGTCACATGGGTCTTGGGCCTAGGGTTTTCTTTATATATGGTTACTGGAAATGAACTCAGTTCCTCACACAGATAATGACAATGAAGGTTTTCTAATTCTTTGTTAATTTTAAACAATTTTGTGTCTTTATGGGAATTTTATCCAGAATTTATTCATACAACTGTTAGGATTATTTAATCTGTTTATATTTATTTATTTATTTAACTGCTTCTATGTGAGTTTACATCTATCATCTATTGTTTGTTTTTTACTGACCCAAACTGTATTTTGTACATATTTTCATCTGTTCTTTTGGATTGACCCTCTACTTGTAATTTACAGTTTTTACTGGTTTGATAGATCACTCATTACACTAAAGATTATAACTTATACCCATGATCAGCATCACAAACATGTTATATTTCATTTACAATCTCAAAACTGGACAGTTGACTTTTTTGCCATAAATTTAAACTTCTCTTTAATTCTGAGTTTATTTGATACACTCCAGTGCTGTGATTGCCCTGGCAACCTCCAAAACTCTTCTGTGTACCCAGAGGACATACTCTCCTGTATATACACATAACCACATCCACTCACACACAAACACACACTAACCCACTATATGGGAGGCTGAACACACACACACACACACACACACACACACACACACACACACACACTCAATACATTAACTGACATGTACACATACACTCAGACAAATACACACACATTCAGTCACACACATACACGGGTATACTAATAGATATATTCACACATATAGGCACACACTGCTTTAGTTAGCAACTCTTATAATGGAAAACATTTAATGGGGGTGTCTTATGTTTTCTGAGGTTCAGTCCATTATCATCATGGTGGGACATGGTGGCATGCAGGCAGACATGGTGCTGGAGAAGGAGATGAGAGTCCTACATCTTGGCCCACAGGCAACAGTAAATGGTCTGAGTGTCATACTGAGTGAAGCTTGAGCAAAGAAGACCTCAAAGCCTACCCCCCACAGTGACAAACTTCTTTCAACAAGGCCACACTTACTCCAACAAAGCCACACCTCCTGATAGAGCCTCTCCCTATCAGCTTAGGGGGGGCCTATTACATTCAAAGTACCACATACATCCACACAAATATAGTCATACACATATACATCCTCACAAATGTACTTATGCAGACATAAGTATTCACACATCTCATATATACAAACACATTCACTTATACAAACACAACACACATTGACTCACATACATAGATGGAATCATACATATATACTTAGACACACACACACACACATTTTCGTACATTCACTCACACATTCACATAAGTGCACACACACACAGCACTCTTGTACAGATACACACTCTCATCCACCTTATAAACAATAGGGCAACACTAGGACAGAGATCAAAGTCTTCCCACTCTCCCAGAGTCACTTTTGTATGCACGGTGCTGAGCCATGCGCTGCATAGATCACTTTTACTTTTAGTGGCATTTCCTGATTCAGTGCTCCGAAAGACACATACTACGTTAACACATAATGACGGAAGCAGAGGAATCCAATTTTGTCTTCTGACAAAACACAGCTACTAAAAAAATATGACTACATTTTGATAACTAATGAATTCATAAAGATGAAGAAAAGAGTAACTTGAATTAGGCAAAAAAAAATAAATAAAAAATCCAAAACAACCCCCCCTAAAAAAAAAAAAAACCCTCAAAACTATTATTTTTAGTGTGCTTGGTTATAGGGTTCTCCTCTTTCAAATCATCTCTAGGGACTGGAGTGATTGCCTCAGGGGGTAAGAACTCTTGCTGTTCTTACCACATGGTGGCTCAGCCTCTAACTCCAATTACAGGGGATTGGACCAGGTCTTCTGGCCTCTATGGCTATTAGGCACACATGTGGCACACATATATACATTCAGAACACTTCCAAAGTAAAAATAAATCATCTCTAATTCCTAGGAGAAAAGGCTAAGTATCAAAAATTTTCCCCTT